CGGACCGGAGCGGGTTAGAGCGCCGGCACGGCCGCTCCGAAGGTCAGGAGAAAATTCTGAACTTTTCTCTCTTCTCACGGTGTGTCGGTTTAGCGAGAAATTATGGATTTTCAGTTCTGAAATCGAGAAAGTGCTCGAAAATCACGCTTTCAGGATATACGATCAGCTCCTGAAAGCTCATCGTACATCGAAGCCTGTTTAAAGCATATCAGTTTCTTTTAAATCGTATTTAAATCCCCGAACAATTTCTCTCTCCTGATCCGTGATGCCTGGAATACAGCCTTGGGACAAAATCTAAAACAAAAACAGCACAATTGATTCTTTTTATACACAGAGTTTATTAATATACTTCCTTAATTCTTTGCAGGTAAATTAACAACGCTGAAGTGAGAACATTAATAATATGTATCTTATATAGCGCCTTATATTCCAGAGAAAAAGTCCACACTGAGAGGAAACAGCAGAATTACACAGGGGCAGTGAAATTAAAGCTCTTTTATTGAAGAAGGTTTAGAGTCTGGATGTGAAAGACTTCAGGGAAGTAGACTCTCTGATGTCCTTGGTGATGTTTTCACCTGTTTCTCTAAATACTACTTGTTTCTTTTAAATTAATTTTACATGCTTTTCCCCCAGTAAGAGTGTTTGTTTGATGCACATATAAAATATTAGCTCTTCTTAATACAGGCACATATCAGAAAACACTGACTCAGTGTTCCAGGTTCACAGGAGAAGTGGCTTTTTCATTCCATTTGTAGTTAATAATTGTATTAAAGACACAGCTTGTGCGATTTGCCTCAGTTACTTTTAAAATATCTGGGTTTTCTTAGTCTTTCACCTGAAGCAACTTTCATTTGTATTGATTGACAGACCTGCCTGTTACTGGAACAACACGAGTCACATGAGAGTTTACTCATGAAAAGTATTTTAATGTTTAATGCTTCCTGAGTGAATAGATGCGTTATGAATTTTCCTGGCAGTTTATTAAGTTTCGTTTGTACTGATCTACCAGGTGGCGCCAGAGAAGACTCTTCCTCACCCAGGTGAGCTCACCTTTACCTGAAGAGAACAGGAAGTCTTTCTCCTTCAGGTCACCAGGAAGAGGGAAGGAGAGAGAGAGATGGCATCTGAGAGCTCAGCGCTCAGCCCTGGTGAGATGTCTCTTGTTCTAACTGTCAGAGTGTCGGTAAGGGAGTCACTGAAGGTCTCTTCTCTGTCACAGAGCACAGCAGCAGCTGGAGAAGTTTCTTCCTGTCTGCTGAGAGTTTGTTCTGTCTGTCAAACACACAGGGTCTGAACTAAGAGAGAGGAGCTGATTTACTTTCACTTTCTCTTGTCAGCGATCGGAGATTAGTACTGTGAAACCTGAACAGGAAGGACATCATATATTTCCCCTGGTTTGTACTAAGAAGTTAATTTACAGTAAAAACAATTTAATTGGTGTAAAACCTCAGGTTCACTAATGTATCTGCAGGAGTTTTAAACACGGCTGATATGTTCAGACATGGTTGTTTCCTGTTTGAAACCGGAGCAGCAGAGAGACACGCAGAATATAAAAAGAGTCTTGCCTGTTCGTTATTTAGTCACTGATGGATACAAGGGCCAGATGTGACAGTAGCCAGGGAATTTCTACTTTCAGTGTTTGAACTTGAGTCCCCAAAACTTCTGTCCTTGTTTTTTGTTTTCCTACTTCTTGTGTTCAGAAAGTTGATGACCGGAGAAACTGACCCATAGCTGTAACTGGGATTTTTATCACCTCAGACAAATAAAACTGTTTCTTTTTGAATAGGTCATTCCTCATGTTTTTTTTTCCTTTCCTGAGCTGTACTGTCACCTTGACCTGATTCTTCCACTCCATCATGAAGGAGGTGAAAACACATCTCTGCTGTACAGAATTTCAACAGCAGGACGGACACAGCATCTCTGATCAGCTGGCTGTTCTACACCAGTTAACTAATTAAAACTTAGTACTGTGAAGAGGGCCTAGACACTAACTCCATTTTTCCTTTGACCTCTGCCATTTCTTGACTCATCTGTCCTGAAATGATCATCTATAATGTGAATCTTGGA